TTCACCAGTTCTTAGGGCGCTCCAGCGGGGGAGCAGCACGCGTTCTGTTTCAGTTCCTGCAGCTGAAGTTGAGATCCGGTTGACAGGGTTGGTTTCTTCTAGAGGCTGTAGGGGACAATCAGTGCAGCGTCTTCTGGTGGCTCCAGTAGTCCTCGGCGGTCCTTGGGTGGTACCAGGCCAGCCGCTGCGTCTGCCGTCACCTGACCTCCTTCCGGGTTCTTTTCTCTGCTCCAAGGACATGGATCAGGACCCACCTGTCACCCAGCAGGATCTCCTCTGGAGGTCCTGAGCCCATTAATCTGCAAAGACCATTCCCCCCGCCCCGAAATGACGCCACAGGGACAGGCACCAGGGCTTGGATTTGGACGTGAGGGCCGGTGTTGGAGCCACTACACAGGAAACTGCAGAGCATCAGGCTGTGCTGTTTCCACAGTGTAGCCCTTCTGTTGGGGGATTCCACTGCAATGTGCAGCTTTTTAACTTTAAAAAGATGGCTTTTCTAGGGGTTACAGTATGTATACTCTGAGCTTTCTGTCAGAATTATTGTTCCTGTCCTGTGTACCAGATACAGTGCCCATCCATTCTACTTACATACACTGTAAACCCCACAAGGTCACAGAATTCCTGCCTTTAAAACCTTGGTTACTTAAAAGGAAAAATATTTTTTTGTTACATAGACTTTTGGTATTTCCAGTGCTTGCTCATTCAATAATGTCCCCCTGGGTTCTGCACCGGTACCGCAGTGTAGACTTCTCTCCTGTCTTGCTGCCCTCAGCGGTACTGCATGACCCGTGTTCACCTGGCACTGACGGGTGTGCGGCACTGTCGTCTAGAGCGGATGTGACGTGGACAGGAGGATGCGTGTGGGCACGGTCGGTGCCATTTCATGCGGGAAACTTGAGCATCCACAGGCCTCGGCATTGGCTGTGGAAGGGTGGTGCTGCTTTTATGTGGCATCATTTACCTCCAGCCTCGAAAGTCGTCGCCTGTCACTCGGTCTTGCTGGTCTCCCTGTCTGTGCCGTCTGCCCTTCGACGGGCATGGCTCTCGGGTTTTCCTTCTTTCTTCACTTTGCAAACATGTTACATCCCTGTACCAATGGCCTCTGTGGCAGCTGATGAGAAGCTGAGGGCAGATTTACTTCGTTATTTGAAAGAGTTACACAGAAAGAGGAGATGAATAGGTCTTCCACGTGCTGGTTCACTCCCCAAATGGCCGTAACGGCCAGGGCTGGCCCCTCCTCTACTGCCATCCCAGGCCAGAGCAGAGCTGGATTGGAAGTGGAGCAGCTGGGACTTGAACTTGTGCCCACATGGGATGCTGGCACTGCAGGCAGCGGCTTCACCCACTACGCCACAGCCCTGACCCCGGCAGGTGCACTTCTAATGTGTCTGTTTCTCAGGCTGTGTTCATCTTGGTCTTCTTCATAATGTATTCTGTTATTCTCTGTATCTGAGGTTGGCATTCCTAGTGAATTTAGGGCAACTGTAGCCGTGCGCACCACAGGCTTTCTGATGCTGTTCTACCCTGGGGCTGCTTTTTTGCACCTTCTTCCCTGTTTATGTCCTTGAACTTGGTTGTTGTGGCTGCTTTGAAACTCTAGTCATCCAGAGGTTGGTGTCTTGATTGCCTTTTCCCTTACAAATGGCTCACACTTTCCTGATTTTAAGCTGGACTTCTCATGCGGTTTCGCCCTGCACTTTCGCACAGGCAGGGGTACGGCTTGGACTCCGCAGCCTGTTCGGTGTCTCTTACAGAGCCGGGTTGCTGTCAGCTTGCACGTGGCCAGGGGGCTCTGGAGCGCCTCAGGCCCCGCGGCTGCGTGTCCTGTCGGCCAGCCTCCCTCTGTGGTCCCCACTGAGCTGTGCTGTCGGCTGTCTTCTTCAACAGTCCGCCTTCAGCTGCTGACTCCACGGAGCTGCCCTGCCTTTGCTGGTTCTCCACTGCCTGGAGGACTTGAACGCTACTGCTGCCTGTGTGGAGGGTCCCACCTGGTAGGAGCTTGCTGGGCCACACTAGGAAGTGCAGCTGTGTGTAGTGTTTCCTTTACCTTAGCTTGATGTTTTCCCATGGCCCGCTCATGTCATTCTATGGTGTGTCCACGAGAGGGCGGTGAGGCACAGGGACCCTGACTGCAAAGGAGATCTGCTGAGGAGTGGCCTACACGCTGCCTTGTGCTTGCCCTCTGGCCTTTCCTGGCCTTGCTTGCCAGACCTTCAGGGCACCCGCTGCGATGGTGCAGCTCAGTGTGCAGATGCCTGTGCCAAGACCCACAAGGAAAGAGATGAGGGTGAGTCTGTAGAGGCCCTGGATCTCAGCTTGGCCCTGGTCTTCAGGGGCACCGTGATAAGTAGAGGAGAGGCTGGGAACGGTAGGTCCCGGACTTTGACCAGTTTAGTGAGTGGCTGGCAGGCAGGCAGGCAGCAGAGGGTGGCTTCTCATAGCTTGGAGTGTGGGGACCGCAGGGGGCAGAACCAGCACAGTTGGGGAACTCTGATCTGCCGAGTTCACTGCTGCTCTGCCGGACGTGGGAGTTAGCATCCAGGTGCCCCGCTCAGACTCTTAGAACCCAGGGACAGGCCGGGGCCCTGCACGCCACATCCAGCCCACATCCGGGCACTGTTCCTTATGCCCCTGCGTTCCACCCTGGGCCGTGGGCTGACTGGTTTGGGCCTTATTTTTACTACTTGCCCCTTCCTCCATACTCCCACATAATCCTCTGGTTTCCTGGGCAGTCCTGACTTTTCCTCAGTGTGGAACCATTTTTTCATTGTAGCAAGCAGAAGGAATTGTAGGCGTCTGGGGGGAGTTCACACTTGCTGGCTTCCATAGACCTGTACCTGTCCTACGTATTTAAAGCTTCTGGGGCTGGCCTGTGACACAGCAGGCTAAGCCACCACTTGTTGCACTGGCACTGATACAGGATGCCAGGGCCCAGTCCAGGCTCCGATCCAGCTCCCTGCGAATGCGCCTGGGAAGCAGCAGGTAAGGGCCCAGAGGCCCTTGGGCTCCTAAACCCATGTGGGATGCCCAGGAGGAGGCGACTCCAGGCTCCTGGCGGCCATTTGGGGAGTGAAGAGATGTAAGATCTGTGTTTCTCTCTGTTGCTAAAACAATTCAGAGCTGGGGTCTGAAGTACATGAGGCATTAGGACACCCTGCTCTAAGAGTGGGAACTGAGGGAAGTGGAAGGTGCCCCCTCCCGTGGCTCCCAAGTCCCAGGGTCCTGGGGCAAGGAGGAATACAAAGTGGCCTGGTGCAGCTGCTTTTGGAACTTAGAGCAGGGGCAAGTAGCCACCAAGTCTGGCTGAGCCCTTAGGCTGCTGTCTGACACAGTTGAGTCTCCAGCAGGTTTGCCTTCTGTGGGAGATTAACATCACAGTGGGGAGGGGGAGTGTGACCTACTCGCAGCCTGTTTGCCCACCTGTCCCATGACACAGACCGAGTTCTGGCATCACAGGCGCTGTGCCAGCAGTGGCACATCCTGACCCCATATTCTCTCACCAATCTCTTGATTCCCCCCTTCCTTTTCAGAAAAAAAGCTTGTAAATACTTTGAGCAAGGCAAGGGGACCTGCCCATTTGGAAGCAAATGCCTTTACCGCCACGCTTACCCTGACGGGCGGCTGGCAGAACCTGAGAAACCGCGGAAACAGCTCAGTTCCGAAGGCACCGTGAGGGTAAGACTTGGCTGTCCCTGGTTGGGGGCCGTCCCTGCCCCTCCCTAATGCAATTCTGGCAGTGGAGAAATGGGGAAGGCAAGAACAGGCCACACAGCCTGCCTTCCCGTCGCCTGTAGCAGTAACCCGGATGTGTGCTGTCTTCACAGTTCTTTAATTCAGTGCGGCTCTGGGATTTTATCGAGAACCGAGAAAGCCAGCACGTGCCCAGCGCTGATGACGACGTGACAGAGCTCGGGGACCTCTTCATGCATCTGTCCGGAGTGGAGTCGTCAGCACCCTAACGAGTCAGTGCTTGCCCCCGCATCCTGGGCCGTGCCGGGCCCCTTGCACTGCAGCCTGAGACGGAGTGTTGCTTGGCATCGAGTGGGTTGTACCTACCCTTGATCTCATGCACTCCCGTCACTGTAGCCTTGGGAAGAGTGAAGGATATAAAGTAACCTACTGAGTACCTGGAATCACTTCCGCTAGCTGATGTCTTAGTTGTAGCCCCTGCCCTTGAGGGGGCGCGCTGGGCCTGTGCAGACTGACAGCTTGCACACAAAACCTGCCTCCTGGCCTTCCTGTTTCTCTCCCTCAAATTCATCAGGCCCGCCAGCAGGGCGTTCTTCAGCCCAAAGAGCCGAGTGCAGAGCTGCAGCTCTGGGCCAGGTGCTCTCGGAGGCTCGTTCCTGTGTTCAGCTGTGCAACAAGCCGTCAAAATCCTCCATCACTTGTCCCCATCAGGGAGGCTCCTGAAGTAGTACAAGTACTGGACAGGCAGCCAAGTTCAAGGCAGGGCCTCCAGCCAGAGTCGTCCATGCAAACCAAGTCCCCACTCTCACCCACTGGCTCGTGCCCACCAGAGTAATTACATCAAGGGCTTCAAACATACACACATACTTAGACAAGGTGAAGTTCGCACTGAAGCCAGCTGTTCGTTCTTACCTGGCTTTGATGTGAACTCTGAAAACTTGAGGGCATCCAGAAGGTTCTGGTTAGCAGTGGTCCTGAACAGGCGCGAGGGCAATCAGCTGTTGACATTTGAAGCACACAGAACCTTCTGAGTCAGAGCAAACCCACCCCAGGCCTGCATTTAGCTGTTTGTGTTAAAAGCTAGATACCAAATACACTGTAAAATCCATTAAAGTGTGGGTAGAAGATCTCTTCCCGGAGTTTAGAGTGCTTTTTGCTCGGTGCACATAGCTGACTCTTCACTAGGGATGGTAAAGAACACAGACAAGAGCTCCTGAGGCTTGAGCTCTGCTCCGGGAGGGAGTGAACGAGGGGAGAATTCCAGCTACGCGTTCTCAGCGTTACTTTAAAAAAGGAGGTAACAGCCATTAAAGCTAAATTTAATTTATTTTATTAAAATAACATAATTGAGGAACCATCAGATAACTGTATTTTGTCAGGCGCAATAAAAACAAAATTAAAACCCAAATCATCAAGAAAACCTCTTATTACTGGCTTCCTTGCATACACAATGATATGAGTCGAGACAAGGCTGGCTGTGCAGCCCGCCCCATAGGGGCAGCTCCTGGAAGACGAAATTCAGCATGACGGAAGACTGCTCCCTGAGAGGGTGGAGATGGGGAGGGCCTTGCTCGGAAAGCCGTCCCAGCGCGCTGGGCCCGCAGGGGCTGTCCCCAGTCACCTCCCGTAGTACCGAAGCAGCTCCTCCGGGCAGTCCTGGGCTGTCTGGTGCAGTATGTGCAAACTGGGCTGCACCAGCTCTGACGGAGTCCCTGCTGCGAGCCGCATTCCTCTCAGGAGCGGATGGCACCTCCCGTGCATCCTCCCACCAGAGGGCTGGCCGGCTGCCTTGACTTCCCCTTGGAGTAAGCTTCCTCTCTCAAGACGACTCACTGAGCTGACAGCGCGGCCGCCTCCTGTATTGCCATCTGTATCTACTAATGCAGCCGGAGAAGGCTGGGCTCTGCGCGCTCCCGAGAACGAGGGGGCGAGCAGGACAGGCCAGCATGGTGAATGGCTTCCTTCTCCCAGGGCCAGAAAGGGTAGAAAAGAAGGCAACGTGAAGTGAAGGCCCAGTGAGTAGTCTCGAAGGTCCTTAGCAGCAGCAGCTTCTCTGAAAACATGCGCTCTGCGCCCAAGAAAGGGAGCAGAGAAGTGGTGCCTGCGGACGTCCCTACCTGCCCGGCTGCCTGAGCGCAGGTGCAGTCACTAGAAGACGGGCAGTCTCGGGGACGTGGTCAGCGTGCAAGCATTGATGTCCTCAGTGTGGGCTGCCCGGTGGAGGGATGGCTCAGAGGCGCTCCGGTTGATCTTCGGCAGAGAGTGCTGGAGCAGCTCGATGGAGGACAGGATCTGAAATGGGGGGGGGGGGGGGCTTGTGCTCGCTCAGCTGCAGCCCCCCTCCCCTGCCCACGGAAGACTCCCCCTCCCCTCCCCCACCGCACTGCAGGGCACCAACACCTGCTTTGATCAGGGCCAGCACTCTAGCTACAAGGCTCACCTGGGGGAAAAGAGGCCTCTCCTCCTTAACTTTCTTCACGCAGTCAGCCACCAGCCTCTTCATGGCTTTCGGGCAGTTCTTGTAGAGCTTGCTGAGATCCGGGGAGGCATAGCCCCGGCCCACCATGAAGATGATCTAGGGAACAGGATGTAACACCTCTAACCCTGCTGCTGCTTAGGCCTGACAGGAGGCCCAGGCTCCCACGAGTGAGCGAGCCAGTGCAGCCTCACCTGATCCCGGTTGTTGATGTGGGAGTAGGGAAGCTCCCCTGTCATCAGCTCGTACAACACGATGCCGTACGAGTAGACGTCAGACTGGAAGCTGAAGGGGTTGTTATCCTGCATTCGGATCACCTCTGGAGCCTACAGGGACAAAGCCATCAGTCACCCCGAGAGAGTTCCCCCAGCCATCCGGGGCCCAGGCCATCCCACTCGTAACCCCTAGACAGCTCTTCCCCAGCGGACTGCCGCCTCTCAAACAGGGGCCGAAGCAGCTCCGGAATCCTGGTCTCTGACCAGGGCCCGCACAGCTTGTGCCAGCTTGCTCAGTGCTGTCCACGCCCAGCTGCAGAATGGCTCGTCTCCCGTTCCTCATTCCTTAGACTGCCCCAGGCTGTCCAACTCTAGGGGTCACCTGGCCTTAGGGCATTTGCAGACAACCACGGAGCGGTGCTCTCGCCCTGCACTGCCCGTGGGAGCCCAGATTGCTCACCATCCACAGGACGGAGCCGGTAGGTTGTTCGACCTGCTGGGAACCACTCCACCGTGATTTTACTGTTGCCAAACCGAAATCTCCAATTTTCACCGTTAGGCCTTCATGGAGGAATATATCTCAAGGCCTGTTAAGGACTCTGACTTCACAGGGATGGTCAAGTTTACTCTGCAGAACTTCCCAAAGTCCTTGAGAGCACACTAGCCTCTCCCCTCATCCCAGACTTACCTGCACCGAATTTTCTAGGTTTCTGAAATTAGAACTATTTCTCAAGTATTTGAAATTCCCACTTGCAGGAAGCAGACAGAAGTTTCCCTGGGCTGCCCTGTCCCTTTCCCATGTCTAGGTGCGGTCTCTGGGCATGTGACCGTCCCACGTGATAGAGGTGCCTCAAACCAACACTGCACAGGCCATGTTTCTGGGTTGCTAAGAGGACGGCGTGCCTGCATTCTGTCCCCAAAGGATCAAATGAAATGTGAGTGTTAACAAAAAGAGCAAGTCCCTTACTGAATGTCGTCGTCACATTTCTCATCGGAATACGGAGCACGTGGTGACTTTGAAATTCAAACCACACTTGCTCCCTAACGGGTGCTCCTGTGACCTGCGGGTGCCAGGAGCTTATTCCCCAAACGTGTGGGAACTGCTTTCATGGTCAAGTTTGGCTGCCAGAAACACCCCATGTCTCACAGCTAACATAGGCCATGTCTCATGTTGTGACAACACAACCCCTACGCCTCTAGTTGGCCAAGAAGCCAAGAGCTGGGGAGGGTGGTGGACTTTACTGTTCAAAGTTATTCTCTGTAGCATGAAAAACACCTCTCTCCATGCTCCGTTCTATAAAAACACCTGGCAGAGACCACGGGTCTCCTCTAAAGAAACCGCCTCTGGATGTTGAAAACAGACAGCTGAATAATTTTGGCCATCTTGCAACTTTTAGCTCATAGCTGCTTTCTGACCAGATATACACTGTCCACCAACTAGAAATAAAATAAAGACAAAAGCCCAGTTAAATTTAGCAATAAACAGTATAATACTAGATTTTTTCAAGTTTAACCCAAACACGTATCTCAACTTGTGAGAATCTTTCCAGAGCAGACTTTCCCTCGGCATCACTCTGGGCACACCAAGGTACACCCTAACATTTCGTTTTTCGAAAGAAATTTCTTCCTGTCTTTTGCCTCTTTTTGTAATTAAAAAAAGAAAAAGAAAAAAGAAATCCCCTGCTCCAGGAGCCACTGGTGATCCAAAGGCTCCTGTTTCCCTACTTTAGAACTGAAGAGCTAGGGCTGGCATTGTGCCACAGCAGGTTAAAGCCCTGGCCTGCCACGCCAACATCCCATGTGGGTACTAGTTCAAGGCTCAGCTGCTCCACTTCCAATCCAGCTCTGTGCTGTGGCCTGAGAAAGCAGCGAAGGATGGCCCAAGTCCTTGGGGCTCTGCACCCACATAGGAAACCCAGAAGGAGCTCCCTGCTCCTGGCTTTGGATCAGCCCAGCTCTGGCTGTTACAGCAGATTTGGGGAGTGAACCCATGGATGGAAGACCTCTCTCTCTCTCTCTCTCTCTCTCCCTCCCTCTCTCTGTGTCTACTTCTCTCTGTAGCTCTGTGTTTCAGATAAATAAATCTCTAAAAACACAAACAAACAAAAACTGACACATCAAACTAAACCCAGCAACCAAAGGATACTGTTGGATTTCATGTCTCTGTGAATGATATTCTTTGCATGCAAGTAGCTGTGAAAGGAAAATAAATTTTTAAAAGCAGTTTGTGGGACGTGGGTAGAAAGCCATTTCTAACTGCAGCTTAAGAGGCAAAGCCACTGGAAAGCTTGCAGGTCCCCAGGGAGGTGTCACTACAGGCCCTGGTCCTGTGCCAGCTCAGCCCAATCCACACCTCGAAGGTGAGGCCACCGTACAGACGCGCTCGGACTCCTCTAAAGCACCAGTTTGACTCAGGTAGTTCTGACAAGCCCAGAAAGGAAGCCGTCACTGACGTGGCTCCACCAACCATGTACGCAGCTGTGTATCTCCAAGCGAGATCTCCAGATCCACTTACAGGAAATGCACGACAGGTAAGATCCACAGAGACGAGCCAGACTGTCGGCTGGGGATGACTGCTGAGGGTACAGCTTTCTGGGCTGATGAAAATATTCTCAAGTGCGCGACGATGGCTACACAGCTCTCCATTTAGTGTAAAACCACAGAGCTGTATACTTCTTCAAAGGGTGAGTTTTATGGTATGTGAATTATGGTCCAAGTATATTTTCTCTAAAGTAATCCCGGCGAGTTATTTCTTAAGAGATACTGGAGGCAGAGGCTGGTGCAGCAGGCTAAGCTGCTGCTGGCAATGCTGGCATCCTCTAGAGGAGGGCAGGTTCAAGTCCCAGCTGTCCCCCTCCAGATCCAGCTCCCTGCTAATACGCCTGGGAGACCCAGTGGAGTTCCGGACTGCTGTGGCCATTGGGGGAACGACCCCAGAAATGGACGATCTGTCTCTCCCTCTCTTACTCTGCCTTAATACATACATAAGTAAATAAGTCTTTAAAAACATATGCAGAGAAGGCAGCTTCCCTCTGAATTTTAAACTACAACGTGGGAATCTGTGAGCCCCGCAAGCGCCGGTGCTGACCGGCTCAGGCCTCTGTGCACAGGAATCCCTGCAGAGCTCTGTGACGCGCTGGCGGGGCGGCCAGGGAAGCACACGCTCGTGCACGTGCACATGGCTCCCACTCAAGCATGGGTCCTGCAGCACAGAGGGGGCAGGCAAGCCCTTCACTGCTTCTCTACAAGGAAGAGAACCTAGAAAGTGACACCCGCTCAAACCCGCCTGTGGGAGGGCCGTGCCCCAGACGCGCAGCAGGGACCTGGCACACTGCCCCGGCAGGAGGGACGCGCCCCCGCACGTTCTCAGTCTCAGGCTGAAACACAGGTAACAGCAAGAGCCCGAACGTGCGCCTCCAGGAGGCAGCCTAGCTTAGGTGAGGAACCCGAACTTCTCACTCCTGGTCACTCCAGCCCAGGGACCGTTTTCAGTTGTGCGCGGTCGTTGCAGAATCACTTGTGGCCTTAGAAGGCTTTTCTGACTCTGGGACAAGTGAATGCTTGGCACCAGGCCATCTACTCACTCCATGCCTTGTGCTGTCTGGCGGGCGATGTCAATTAACTGGAACATCTGGAACTTGGTCTCCTGGACGTGCAGATGTTTATAGAGGCTGCTGCCCTCACACCACTGGGTCACAATTGCCAGGTTGTCCTTTGTCATGTACCCCATGAAGAGTAGGATGTTCACATGCCGTGTTTTGCTGGCCAAAGGAAAGGGAAGAAAATTGACACCGCCCACACTCCCCAGCAGAGGGCGCCGGTAAGTCCAGCTGGTGTTCTGAGCAGCCCTGGGGGACCCCTCACTATTCACCATACTCCTAACAAGTCTCAATAGTGACTTAGAGAGTTTGAAAGCTGAAGGTTTTGAAGTCCCACAGAGGCAATCTGGCTAGAAAAGGGTTCTTGGAGATGAAGATAAAGGTAAGACCCCTTCACCTCAAACCAAACCCCAGAGACAGGAGGACTTGGGTTACTGAATTTAAGGGGTGCCCAAGATGGGATTGTCACGAAAAGGGGCATCTTCCTTGGAACTGGGGAGAAATTTCGAGCCCTTCACCCTGGAGGAAGGACTGGCCAACCACAGGCCCTGTGCGCTGAGTTCTGACCAACTCAGGTTCAGCCCTCCCGGCGCAGCCCCTGGTTCTGCAGTTCCCCGCCCGGGGGCCAGCCAGGCCAGGCCAGCCCCTAACTCACCGCAGGACAGCCACCTCGTTCCTGAAGGCCTGCAGCTGCTCTGGGGTTGGGTCGACGACCTTAAGGATCTTCACTGCAACGTCTCCTGCAAATTAGTTTGTAGTCAGTGCAAGCAGATGAATGACCATTATTTTTCAAATACTCCCTAATTTGAGGGAAGATACAGGGAATCAATCAAAACGAATCATGTATCCGTACTGATGGAAGGAATCTGCAAAATTCTAAGCCAGGTGTCTAAAAGATCCAGGTTAGTGCTCTTACACCCTACACACCTTCACCCAGCTTGCTTGAAGCAGTCCCACGGGAGGTCACGTGCAACGGCCAACTCTGGCCTGTGGGGCTGAAACCAGCACAGGACGTGAATGGGACAGAGGGCGGCAGGCATTCGGCAGCTGCAGCTATGAAAGTCAGCATCCACGTGCTTAGATCTGAAGTGGCTCCTTTGAAAATACAAAGATCTGTACCGCAGTTGAGCTTTGCCTTCAGTTTCATTAATCCTAGGACCCAGGGCTGTGACATAGTGGATTAAGCTGCTGCCTGGGATGCCACATCCCATACAGGTGCTGGTCTGTGTCCCAGCAGCTCCACTTCCAGTACAGCTCCCTGCTAAGGGCCTGGGAAAGCGGATTAAGATGGCCCAAGTGGTTGGGCCCCTGTACTCATGTGGGAAACCCAAGACAAGCTCCTGACTGTGGATTTGGCCTGGCCCAGCCCCGGCTGTTGTGCCATCTAGGGAATAAACCAGCAGACGAAAGACCTCTCTCTACCTCTGCATTTCAAATAAACAATTTTTTTAAAAAAGTAATCCTGGCCGGCTCACTAGGCTAATCCTCCGCCTGCGGCGCTGGCACACCGGGTTCTAGTCCCGGTCGGGGCGCCGGATTCTGTCCCAGTTGCCCCTCTTCCAGGCCAGCTCTCTGCTGTGGCCTGGGAGTGCAGTGGAGGATTACCCAAGTCCTTGGGCCCTGCACCCCATGGGAGACCAGGAAAAGCACCTGGCTCCTGGCTTTGGATCAGCGCAGTGCGCCGGCCGCAGCGCGCCGGCCATTGGAGGGTGAACCAACGGCAAAGGAAGACCTTTCTGTCTCTCTCTCTCTCTCACTGTCCACTCTGCCTGTCAAAAAAAAAAAAAAAAAAAAAAAAAGTAATCCTAAGGGGTCGGTGCTGTGGCGCAGCGGCGCAGTGAGTTAAAGCCCTGGCCTGAAGCGCTGGCAGTCCATATGGGCGCTGGTCCTAGCCCCAGCCGCTCCTCTTCCATTCTAGCTCTCTGCTGTGGCCCAGGATAGCAGAAGATGGCCCAAGTGCTTAGGCCCCTGCACCCACGTGAGAGACCTGGAAGAAGCTCCTGGCTCCTGATCAGCACAGCTCCAGCCGCTGCAGCCATCTGGGGAGTGAACCACCAGATGGAAGCCCTCTCTCTCTGTCTCTACCTCTCTCTGTAACTCTTTGAAATAAATAAATCTTTAAAAAAAAAAAAAAACCTGGCACATTAGTAACTTTTAAAACAAAGTAATCCTAATAAATACCAAGTGCTTGCTATACCCTGGCACTGTGTGTACTTCTGACCTATGATGTAAATACTGTTATCCTCACTTCACCAACAAGCAGAGAAGGTCAGGCTCTCGCTCAAGGTCACACAGCCAAAAAACCAGTGCTCCCGTCAGGACTGGAACCTTGTGTGACTCCAGCGACTGTCCTATCTCCTACACCGACAGCTGCCTGCCGAGCACCGTGAGGAAAGCCAGCCTCTTCGCACCACCTTCCGCCTACCCAGGGTCAATTCCACTGTATGTGCTACACATTTTGCAGCCGCTTTCTGCAAGGTCACGGAAGGAATCTCCGCTAAGAAGGCTGAGAGGGTGACGCTCTCGATAGGCTCGCGTCTTCACCCTGTGCCCTGGGACTGGCACCTGACACCTCTGCCGTGGGCTACGTGAGGCCAGGGAGCAGCTGCAGATCCATGCTGACACCACCCTGGAGACGCTGCGGCTAAGGCTGAGGCAGGCAAGAATGACACAGCTGTCGAGCGCCTGGTGGCCCTGCTGTCGAACTGCGCTACTCTTCCGGCTTCTTCCTGGAGGATCCCCTGATCCCTCCACCGCATCCGTCGTGCGTTCAAGCTGGGCCGATACACTGAGAAGGCTGGGAGGACCGTGGGAGCGCCCGGGGCAGCTGGTCTCCATGCGGTTCCCACGTGAGGGAGACAAGGTGTGTCCCATCCGGGAGAAGCACATCAGAAATTGGTACTCAGAAACCTGATGCCCTCTGTACAGTGCCACCGCGGCTCCCTCGGTGGTGTCTGGTGGTCTGTCCTCCCCCTGCCCTTGTGTCTAAGGCAAGAAACAAGAGCTATGAAGCCCCATCCCCTCCTTCATTTGGCAATGGGGTTGGAAGTTGTTACCATGGGGAGTTTTGCTTATTTTGTGCTGGAATTAAAATACGCAAAGAAGATGCAGTTTCATCCAAAAAAGTTTTTATATTGCTCTATTTATAACAATGGTTGAAGCTCTTTTAGGACTCAAAATTTCACGATAAATGAATTCAGTAAAACACAGCCTTCTTAGCATCAAACCAGGAATCACCTGAATGACACCTGGGAGCTGACTTCGTTCCTTCACACACAGTGTAGCCCCCTCCAGTCTTTCTGTCGACAGACTTATTTCACTTTTGGGGACCACCAACTGGTAGAGACGGCTCTTACGATAGGTCCCAAACTGCTTTCCTGAGATCTGTGGCTTTATCTAATGCTACAGTGAGTCTCTGCTCAACACAACCTCCAAGCTGGCTCTCATCCAATTCACCTACACATGGCTTACCAAGGGCCCAGGTGGCCTGGGGAGGCCTGTTGGTGGGGGATGCCAACAGTGCGTGCCAGATTCAGCGCGAGCGTCCATCTAGGAAAATGGTTCTGGTACACATGAGCCACGTGTACAACAGCACTGACCTCCAGTCCCTCAGGACTAAGCAGGAGAGCCAGAGTCTTCTGCATAACTTTTCTTTTTGACAGGCAGAGTTAGAGAGAGAGAAAGGTCTTCCTTCCATTGCCGCCATGGCAGCGCGCTGCGCCAATCCGAAGCCAGGAGCCAGGTGCTTCCTCCTGGTCTCCCATATGGGTTCAGGGCCCAAGCACTTGGGCCATCCTCCACCACACTCCCGGGCCACAGCAGAGAGCTGGACTGGAAGAGGAGCAACTGGGACAGAATCCGGCGCCCCGACCGGGACTAGAACCCGGGGTGCCGGCGCCACAGGCAGAGGATTAGCCTAGTGACAGGCAGAGTTAGAGAAAGTGCCCACTTTGCACTTCTGTAGCTCCCTCCCCAGAGGAAGGGGAAGGCCTCCACACAAATGCCAGATTCCCCCCATGCCTACAGACCAACACCTGTGCACAGAGCCCGCCCCACTCCACCTGCTGTGCTCCACTTCCTGAGCACTGCAATCCACTGCGGTCTTTACTTTTTGTTTGTTTATTTTTCCCACTAGAATATAAACTATGTAAGAGAACCAAATTTTAAGTTTTGTTCATTGCTAGCCACTAGAATACCTGGACATTAAAAAAATCTGGATAAAAAAGGAAATAAACACTGGATTCTAAATGGAAACTGACAAGCTGTCAGATGCTCTAGGGAGGCGCCTCGCCTGGGGCACGACGAAGACTCAGATCCCCACAGCACAGAACAAGAAACCGCTTCTGGCGGAGAGATCTGGCACCCCAGGCCTGGCCCGGCCCCAGGTCTACAGAAGCAGCAGTGGCCCCAGAACAAAGGCGGTCTCCATCCTGGCCCACAGTCCTGACAGGCGTTCAGTAACACTGCTTGCTGCTCACCCCTTTCAGACCATCTCTCAGACAAGTACAAACTACACGGTAACATATTTCCTTCTGCAATTATCCAAATACCCTTAGAGATGGCAATCTCACAACATTTAAAGATTACTCATTTACCACAACAAGTCACATGAATGACAAGGGTAAATGGCCAGGTAACTTTTTTTTTTTTTAATATTTTTTCTTTTTTTTTTTTATTTTTATTTTTATTTATTTTTTTTTTTATTTTTGACAGGCAGAGTGGACAGTGAGAGAGAGAGACAGAGAGAAAGGTCTTCCTTTGCCGTTGGTTCACCCTCCAATGGCTGCCGCTGCAGCCGGCGCACCGCGCTGATCCGATGGCAGGAGCCAGGATCCAGGTGCTTTTCCTGGTCTCCCATGGGGTGCAGGACCCAAGCACCTGGGCCATCCTCCACTGCACTCCCTGGCCACAGCAGAGAGCTGGCCTGGAAGAGGGGCAACCGGGACAGAATCCGGCGCCCTGACCGGGACTAGAACCCGGTGTGCCGGCGCCGCAAGGTGGAGGATTAGCCTATTGAGCCACGGCGCCGGCCCAGGTAACTTTTTATCAAGGTGGCAGCTCATAAGGCAGTCAGTAAACGATAAACCAGAAATCCTCATTTTCCTTTCACAGTCAAAGGCAAATATAGCGCCGACAGCCCTGACGCGTCAGGTTTCCACTTGAGATTTCTCAAGCTTTAACCTGGTGTGCACGTGAGGCACGTTCAGTAGACACCATCCTAAGAACTGTGACTTGCTGCTGCCAGGTTAGGGCTACGCAGTCCGGTCCTGTCTCAGACGTGGGGCGCGGCGGCGGCGGTGGCGGTGGCATCCAGCGCAGTAATCATAAAAGGAAGCCCCAGCACCGATCTCCGCTAGGCTGTGGTGCCTGGTAGGCTGGTGGATTCGATGCACGTTTCACATGAATTATTTTCAATGTGTCAGTGGGCTAACTGGGACCTAACTCCACTGTAAGTGAAGGAACCTCTACACAAGCAAGTTCTAAGACACCTTCCCGGGACAGCACTGCGGCGCATCCCACATGGGTGCTGGTTCACATCCGGCTGCTCCACTTCCAGTTCAGTTCCCTGCTAATGCGCCAGGGAATACAGCGGAGGATGGCCCAAGTCCCTGGGTCTCTGCCACCACATGGGAGACCTGGAAGAAGCTCCTGGCTCCTGCCTTCAGATCGGCCCAGCTCCGGCTGTTGCAGCCATTTGGGGAGTGAACCAGCGGATGGAAGACCCCCCTCTCTCTCCCCACCTCCTCCCTTTCACAGTCTGTAACTCTACCTCTCAAATAAATAAATAAAATCTTAAAAAAAAAAAAAAAAAAAACCCTTTGGGTCAGGCACTCAGTCTAACAGTTAGGAGCCTGGATCCCATGTCCGAGTACCTGGTTTCGATTCCAAGCTCTTGCTTCTGACTCCAGCTTCCTGCTACTGCAGACCCTGGAAGGCAGCCATGATGGCTCAACTGACCGGATTCCTGCCACCCTTGTGGGAGACCTGAACTGAGTTCCCAGTTCCCAGCTTCAGCCCCAGCCATTACAGGCATCTGGGAAATGAACCACTCGATGGGTACATTCTCTTTGTTTTTTATTTAAATAAATGGAAACAATCTTCGGATGGAGAATCTGCTAAGGAGTTGAGCCATCTTCCACTGCTTTTGCAGGCCACAGCAGAGAGCTAGATCAGAAGTGGAACTGCCAAGACGTGGAGTGGCACTCGTATGGGATGTTGGCACTGTGGGCGGCAGCTTTGCCCGCTATGCCACAGCGTGGGCCCCTCATAATTATCTTAACAAATGCCAAAAGTAAAGGAAGTTAAGAACGTCCAGTGAATGGAGCATTCAAATTTTAGGTGTTGGGGCCGGCGCCATGGCTCACTTGGTTAATCCTCCACCTGCGGCACCGGCATCCTATATGGGCGCTGGGTTCTAGTCCCAGTTGCTCCTCTTCCAGTTCAGCTCTCTGCTGTGGCCCGGGAATGCAGCGGAGGATGGCCCAAGTGCTTGGGCCCCTGCACCCGCATGGGAGACCAGGAGGAAGCACCTGGCTCCTGGCTTCAGATCAGTGCAGCGCCGGTCATAGCAGCCATTTGGGGAGTGAACCAATGGAAGGAAGACCTTTCTCTCTGTCTCTCTCACTGTCTAACTCTGCCTGTCAAAAAAAAAAAAAAAAAATTTTTAGGTGTTGAAAACTGAGAAAACGCCTCGGTTTTCTGAGTACCTTATGCTCATTAATACCTGGGTTTGTGCCACATGTAACTGATCATTTGAGAACTCTCTGGTTCCTTAAGGGCATGGGACTGAATGCTGTAAATTCTATGTAGGATGATTAGTTTTTCTTTTAAAATTGCATCCAGTATACTACTGGTCTATCTCCAAAATCCCAGGGAAAAGACACTGTTGTAAGGAAGATATGTCAAATGCTGTAAAGGGATAAAGAGTAGCACAGCATTTTGTAGGATACAGTGCTGTGTCTGAGACAGCAAGACTGCCAGTACTTGCAGGAACTAGAGCAGTGGGTATTGTGCTTAATACTTCCATTAGGAGCAGCACATCATTTTAATACCACATTCTAAAAGCTCTGGCTAAAAGCCAATAGGTGGAGTTTACATTGTATCCAATTTAAAGTTTCCTTTGGTTGAACACTTTTATCTGGCCACTCAAAGTTTCACAAGGCACTAACACACAGTCCTACTGATGAGCTTCTGTTTTCTCTCAATAGTGTGAGCTTTTAAGCTCTGAAAAGGAGACACATTTGGAAGTTAGAGAGTCTCAAAATCGAGGGGAGCACAGACTTCTGTGCCATCTTCCCCAGAAATAAGCCATAGTCTGGGGGCCGGCAATGTGGTGTAGCGAGTAAAGGCGCCACCTGCAGTGCTGGCATCCCATAGGGGTGCCGGTTCAAGTCCCAGCTGCTCCACTTCTGATCCAGCTTCCTGCTGATGCACCTGGGAAAGCTGCAGAATATGGTCCAAATCCTTATGCCGCAGCACCCAGGTGGGAGACCCAGAAGAAGCTCCTGGCTCCTGGCTGCTGATTGGCCCAGCTTTGGCTGTTGAGGCCATTTGGGAGTGAACCAGCAGATGGAAGATCGATCTCTCTCTGATGTCTCTCTCTCTTTCTCTGCCTCTTTGTAACTCTGCCTTTCGAATAAATTAATTAAAAAAAAAGAAGACAGCTATGGGGACTGGCGCTGTGGCATAGTGGGTTATGATGGCACCATACCATATGGGCATCATTTTGCATTCTGATGGTTCCACTTCTACTCTAGCTCCCAGCGAATGCCCCTGGGAAAGCAGTGGAGGATGGCCCAAGTGCTTGGGCCCCTGCACCCACATGGGAGACATGGAAGAAATTCCCGGCTTTAGCCTAGCCAAGCCCTGGCCATTGTGGCCATTTGTGGAACAAGCCTCTGCCCACCCCCCCCCTTTTCCTTCCCTCTCTGTAACTCTAACAAAGAAAAAACCCTTAAAAAAATTATGCTGGAATCCAAGCTAGAAATGCAGGCAACCCATGCACTGTAAGATCTTGTTGTGTTATAACCTGAATGTCGAAAAGATGAGATTTTGAGAATATACTACATTTATAACTTGCTAACATCCTAAAGCCAGAAGCAGTAAAAACTTGAGATAAGTGCTAATTACACTGCTCAAATACACAAGCTGCGGCTACAAAAGTTAAACAGAACCTTTCTCCCAAGTGTCAAAGCTCCCATCAAAGTAAGGAAAACAACAGTGCATAGATTCAAGAATTCAGTCTATGCATTCCCTGCTGGACAGGGATGCCCACAACTAACCCTAGGGCACAACAAAGAGAAGCTGTTTCAAGAATTCTTAGCTTTGCTATGCCAACTTCACTGGCCATGGGCAAGCAAGTTAGCCCGACTCTCCAGACCTCAGTTTTGCGATCCTTTCCAACCTCACACTTCCAGAATCCACGCTCCCCCGCCGACAGAGAAGCAGATTTCTGCCCATTTAAGGTGCATCACAGCAGGCCCCACATGCAGCTTGTATGTAACCAGTTTATAAGGAGAAAGTACCCCTGACATCTGACTGTGGAACTCCTATCTTATTCACTCATTTCTATCTAAAGAATCTTATCATCCAAACTGAAGTACTATGAATCTAAAACAAGTCCCATGAAATTTCAGGAATATGACGGTCCAATCTTCAGGCGTAAGCCACTCTCCATGGGAGAGCACCACTGTGGGCCAAAGAGCACACGGAGTCTGCTGGCCGCTCTGGGCTGCACGCTGGCCTCACTGAAGCCCCACAGCAAAGGGAAGGCCCTGAACTCACCATGCCATTTGCCTTTATAAACAGTTCCAAAGGAGCCAGATCCAATCCGAGTGGAGAGCATCACTTCGCTGGCTTCTATTTCCCAGTAATAGCTGGAATCTCTCTGTCCACGGGGCCTCTGAAACAAGCAGAGATCAAACACTCCAGGGCACGTAGCAGGCTGTTTATAGCAAGCGCATCAAAGAAAGGATCTACCCAACCCCACCTGTTCCCACAGCTTTTAAAGAGGCATAGAAACCATAATCCCACTTCTGGCTTCTGAGAAAACACTGTTTCAGTAGCAGCGAATTGGCAAGTTGTCCAATGGAAGCATGCCGAAAATGGCACTGACATTTATGATCTCTTTTATAAAACGTACTTATTAGAGTCCTGTCTCAAAATAAGTGAAAAGCATTCTAACTTCCAACCAGGTTTTTCTTACTGAACTCAAGCAGGCGGGAAGTACGGGTAGCAATACTCACAATTTTGTTTTTCTCCTGTGTTCCAGATCCTGGTGCCCGTTCTCTCTGTGCTGGCACAGGGGTTTTGGGCTGTGACCAGCCTGTTGGGCTCAAATTGTTGGGGCTGCTGGATAGGGCTGAAGGTGAGCCTTAATAGACAAGACAAACAGATCCACACATGGATGAGCCAACAGAAGATACACAGCATAAAAAGAAAAAGCCAATTACTATCTGAAAATAATTATGGAAAAGTACCTGATTCACTGTGACTTCGAATTGCATCCTGAAACAGAAAAAAAAAAAAAAAAAAAAAAAAGGTCGGTCACCTTGTACACTAGACAAGTTTCACTCTGGGGAAGGGCAAAGAATGGAGGATTTGCAAGGAAAAAAAAAAAAAAACTGGATTATACACAAAAAGTCTAACTACTCAGGCTACTTAACTTTCCCTGATTAAATATACCAATGTCAAAGGCCAAGATCTTCAAGACTGGTTGTTTATCAAATATTATGAGGACTGATAATATTTCATGACAATGGAAACCACATACTTTTCTCAGATGACAGCAATGAACACAGCAAGTACATTCTCTGAAGTAAGGCCAGCAAAGTTACCAGCTTTCCAAAGACAAAGATCTTGCTCCAGTGATGCTCAAAAAAAGGGAGAGGGAGGGGGGAGCTGGCGCCAGGAAAACTCTGATTTCACTAGGAGTTACAGTAAGTTCCCATAACTAGAAGCTGGATTTGATTCGAGGTTAAGTACCATCACTACATACTTTACCCAAGCCTAAAATTACGGGACAGCTGCAAAGGCTAGCAACAGTTTAAAATCTACATCTTACATGTGAGAAAACACATCTCAACAGGTAAAGGGATGTGGCCAAGCTGGCATAGCCAGTAGAGGACTAAAAAGAACTTATTAGAATAAACTATTTGGAAAAGAGTTTAAACCACAGGGGGCTTTTGAAAACTAAGAACTTTAAAAATAAATATGGGGGGGGGGGGCTGGCACTGTGGCGCAATAGGTTATTCCTCCGCCTGCGGTGCCAGCATCCTAAATGGGTACCAGTTCTAGTCCTGGCTGCTCCCACTTCCTATCCAGATCTCTGCTGTGGCCTGGGAAAGCAGCAGAGGATGGCCCAGGTCCTTGGGCCCCTGCACTGACATTCAAGACCCCCAAAGAAAGGTTCCCTGGCTACCCTGGGCTTCAGAATCAGTTGCCAGTCTACAACCCGTTGCAGCCACGTTTGGGGGAGTGGACCCAGCGGATCGAAAGACCTTTCTCCTCTCTTGCCCTCTGGCCTTTCATGAAAACTTCTGCCTTTCAAATAAATAAATCTTAACAAAATAAACAAAGAAACAAACAAAACACACAAGAAAAACAATAAATGTGTAAGATGCCTGAGGGCATCTCTAGGAAAAAAAATTAAGTCAGTCACAGGAAGACCTTGAGATGTGAATCCCAATTTAAAAGATCTTCACTTGCAGTGCAATAGAATAATGTATGACCACACTGGCCTCCTGTTCTCAAAAAGCTTATTTCTCACTATCTTCTTTTTTTGTTTTGTTTTGTTTTATTTTGACAGGCAGAGTGGACAGTGAGAGAGTGAGAGTGAGAGAGAGAGAGAGAGAGAGAGAGAGAAAGGTCTTCCTTTGCCGTTGGTTCACCCTCCAATGGCCGCTGCAGCCAGCGCGCTGCAGCCGGCACACCGCGCTGATCCGATGGCAGGAGCCAGGTACTTATCCTAGTCTCCCATGGGGTGCAGGGCCCAAGCACTTGGGCCATCCTCCACTGCACTCTCGGGCCACAGCAGAGAGCTGGCCTGGAAGAGGGGCAACCGGGACAGAATCCGGCGCCCTGACCGGGACTATAACCTGGTGTGCCGGCGCCACAAGGCAGAGGATTAGCCTAGTGAGCCGCGGCGCTGGCTGGACTATCTTCTTTGTATAACCTAAGAGTATGCACAAAATATTTGTTCATTCAACTGTTACTAAAACACTCTGACAGCTTTACCAAAGATGAAGAATCATAAATCAGCTGTTTGTTCCTCCACCCTTTAAGACTCTCCCAATCCAAGATTCTTCAAAATTTATCAGTAGAGCCTCGTTCTGGTTCTCAAATCTAACTAATCTTTACAATCTGCAACAGAGGTTTAAGAATACAAATTCACCACACACAAATTAAGCATGTCTGCAAGCAGAGAAAGTAGAAGTCTAAGAATACAAATGTTGTTAACATGTAGAATCAGCATGATTGTGGGGCACACAAAACATTGGCTAACAATAACCTGAACTTCAGGTGAATATTCAGCAACTGTAGCTTCGTTATCCTATCTGTTGTTTTCAGTCAAATCTAACGAAATGAATTTTTATTAACTAGAATTACACTCCCAGTTATGTGCTAGGACTTTTCCTTAAAGTCACAGTAATTTTCTTCCCTGTATCTATTATATTCCTTCTATTTTATTCTGTGGTGATGTCCACAGCTAGATCAATTTGTCCTCAATAATTAAAAAGAATTACAAAAATTTTAAACAGGCAACAATGCTGGCCAGTGCTGTGGCGCAGAAGTAGAAGCCACCATCCAGGACACCAGCATCCCGTATGAGCACAAGTTCAAGTCCCAGCTGCTCCACTTCTCATCCAGCTCCCTGTTAAAGCACTCCCTCTGATATCTCTTTGTAACTCTGCCTTTAAAAAAAACAAAATACAACATCACTTTAAAAGTGCTAACTTTAAACAACAGTGGGTTAAGCTTACAATAGCTGTATCCCACATCAGAGTGCTTGGTTCAAGTCCTGGCTGCTCCACTTCTAATCCAGCTACCTGCTAATGGATCCTGAGCAACAGCAGATGATGGTTCAAGTACTTGTGTCCTGCCCACCGTGCAGGAGAGTCAAATAAAATTCCACGATCCTGGCTTTGGCCTGACTGTTGCATGTATCTGGGGAGTGAAGCCGTGGATGGAACATACAATCTATCTTCTCTCCTTCTCTCCCTCTCTCTCTGTGTCACTCTACCTTCCAAGCAGATAAAAATAAACATTTTTAAAAAATTAAAGATGTTGGTAAAAATGTAGTAACACACAAAGTATTAGGATTCAAAATTTATTCTGCTTCTAAAGAAAGGATGAAGCCTAACAGCTGTGTTATTCTGTACCAAAAATTAGAGAACTTGCACTTCCAGTGCTCCTTCCAAATATTTACACAGAAACAAATCACATATTACAAAAAAACAGTAGCTGATGTGTTACTGTGTTAGTAACAGAACTAACCATAGTGATAAAATAGAAACAATAAATCCCACAGTTTACACAACCTTCTCTCATCGTCACAGGACAATTGTCTTAAGTGATTTGAAATCGGAGTGAGAAACTGCCTGTGGCAGGTTTTCAGAGGGACAGTGCACCACACAAAGATAACACAGGTATCTCTGACAATCCTTCATAAAGGATTTCCAAGGCCTATCAACCAAACTGGTACAATGTGGTTTCTAAGGCATACAGAGAATACTGATGCGAGCACCAACTAAAAAAGCTGAACATTACTTTTTGGTTGCAATTTATTATATTTTAATGACCTTGGCTTCAAAGTCCAACTTGAGAAATTTCCCTACTAGCAATACCCTATGTAGTATTTCTTTACTCTCATATAACCTATTGCCAAAATAGAAAATATAAAAACAATTCTGAAAAGAAATATAATTTATCTTATCAACAGGCTCATTTTCGGTAATCTACTGTCTGATAGTCTTAGCAATCCTGTTAATTACAAGAAAGCAAAGGCATGAAGAAAAATACCTACTCTTCCCCTCAAACCAAACCGTCTGGACCACGCCCTGGGAGAAGCATTCAGGCTGTTATTCTGGTCCAAAGCAATGAAAAATAAAGAAGAATAAAGAACAAAGGAAGTATTTTAAATGTATTCAATTGTTATTAAAGATGAAGTAGAAAGCAAACAAAATAAACAGAACATACAAAAAGCCAAGAAAAGAAAACGCAGTTTGAAAACACTAGTTTTTACAACTCCCCTGCTTATTAAAATCCTAGGACTCCACCCCTTAATGTCAGAATAAAAACACTTAAAATTTGTCAAGAGTCTGCAGTTCTCTATCACTATTATTTTGTTTCTGACACTGTCTTATGTAGCAGCTCACTGAAACTGTATTCAAATCTGACACAGAAAGAATGAGTTCAAATGTGAACACTTCTTCAGGAGGTTTTAGTTGAATGATACGTACCAAGTGGATTAATAAGCCAGTCTACAACACAAATTTTAGAAGCCCACGGGTCTGGGAAAGCACTGCACAATTCCCAATCAGGTGTGAAGGCCAAACTCTCTGCTGTGACAATCATCCCCGCCCCTTTTTAACCGACTGACACTCATCCCCACCCGCACAGGGCCCTGTTACCTCAATCATCCTGCTGTCCACAGGCAGGGTGGTGCTGACCATGTGGACATTAGGTGTGGACGTCGACCTCTGCCTCTGGGACAGGGAGCCTTCTGAGGAGGGACTGGAGGTGTTGAATGTGAAGGCATGGGGTGTGGAGTATCTGTGCTGGGAACTGGGGTAGGAGAAGAAAAATTCCATGATTGGCACTCAGTCCTCCCCAGTGGTCATCTATAAACTATCTACTTCACCAAGACACTTAGGTGTAAACTTTGTACAACCTTTGGCAAAATATTTTTCTTTCAATATGGGCCATTTAAAAATTCTGTCTAGGTGTTTGTACATACAAATTTTAGGAAGGAAAATAACACATGTGCTTGCAACTCAAATAGAAAGGAGAACATCATAAGTTTTCTTCTTCAAATCTTTACAGCATCGCTGCAAAAGAAGCAATTAACATTTGCCAACCACAGCACCAACTACTAACCTACCTGGAACCTGCCCAGTTTAGACTAAACAGAGAACTTTTTAAACAGATGGTTAGACCTGTTATGTTCATCTGCATAAAGGTCAGGATTGTACACTCTGTGCATTCTATCACCCTGCATCTAACACACAAGAGTTACAAGCACATACCTTGTTTTCCTTTACAAATGATCATGAATTCAGTATTTAGATTGCAACATTTAATTATGAAATTAATCACTGGTCTCTTGTAGCCAGTGCTTTGCTCCTGCAAACTAAACTGGTACATGCATTAAGAAATGTAGCATTTTCATTATTCGCTCTAAAGATTAATTTGAGCTCTGGTTACATTCAGGTAATACTCATGTATGAATTCAAGGGGAAAAAGGCTATCTGTTGCCTTGAAAAATTGCCTTCTTGGGGCCAGCGCCGTGGCACAGCAGGTTAAAGCCCTGGCCTGAAGCGCTGGCATCCCATGTGGGTGCCGGTTCTGGTCCCGGCTGCTCCTCTTCGGATCCAGCTCTCTGCTATGGCCCAGTAGTGCAGTGGAGGATGGCCCAAGTCCTTGGGCCCTGAACCCACGTGGGAGACCAGGAAGAAGCTCCTGGTTTTAGATTGGCGCAGCTCCAGCCGTTGCGGCCATCTGGGGAGTGAACCAGCAGATGGAAGACCTCTCACTCTGTCTCTATCTCTCTCTCTGTAACTCTTTCAAATAAATAAAATAAATCTTAAAAAAAAAAAAAAACTGCCTTCTCACACAATTCTTTGTGTATGCCTTCAGAGGCCTGGCTTTTTCTAATCTTAAGAGGTAATTACAGGCCGGCGCCATGGCTCAATAGGCTAATCCTCTGCCTTGCGGAGCCGGCACACCGGGCTGGTCCCGGTCGGGGTGCTGGATTCTGTCCCAGTTACCCCTCTTTCAGGCCAGCTCTCTGCTGTGGCATGGGGAGTGCAGTGGAGGATGGCCCAAATGCTTGGGCCCTGCACCCGCATGGGAGACCAGGAGAAGCACCTGGCTCCTGCCTTCAGATCAGCGTGATCAGGGTGAATCAACGGCAAAAGGAAGACCTTTCTCTCTGTCTCTCTCTCTCACTATCCACTCTGCCTGTCAAAAAAAAAAATAGAACACAACACCAAGTAGAGGTAATTACAGAGGCAGGCGCTATGGTGCAATAGGTTAATCCTCCACCTGCAGTGCCATATGGGCACAGGTTCTAGTCCCAGCTGCTCCTTTTCCAATCCAGCTCTCTGCTTAAGGCTTGGGATAGCAGTAGGAGATGGCCCAAGTACTTGGGCTCCTGCACCCCCATGGGAGACCCAGAAGAAGCTCCTGGCTGGATTGGCATAGCTCCAGCTGATGCGGCCAATTGGGGAGTGAACTAGTGGATAGAAGACCTTTCTGTCTCTCCCTCTCACTGTCTGTAACTCTACCTCTCAAATAAATAAGTAAAATAAGTACAGATTTTTGACCAGATTTTCTTTTCAAATATCAACAAACAAAAGTCGCACATGGATGTCCAGTTATGATTTCAAACTGAATTCTCTGAGATACAGCTGTCTTTACTAATTTCATGGTAGTTATACAAGGGCCATTAAATGTCATCCAGTTACATATGCGTTCAAGTCAGATACTCCGGACAGACACAGATGTACTCTAGGCTCTCAATTAATGTGTTAACATTTGGGAAAACATAAACTCAACAAAACCCTGAAACTGGAACACAGAGTAAAGACAAGTTATACACAAATTCACAGGCATATCAGAAAGGATATTTATACTGACAAATCTAGATTCTTTTACACAGCAATCCACTAACTACTGTGGTTTAACAACGCATCGACAACAAGGATTCCAGAACGGAGGGTGTTATTTTTACTCAGTCACGTGGTATTGAGCTTGTTGAGCCTTCCCAGTGAAGCTCGGCTCACTATCAAGAAAGGCAGAATCTCAAGTTCTTTAAAATGTAATGAGATACTAAGGAATGTGCTATGATAACCAGAAGGAATTGAAGTCAGAATCACTTCACAGAATCTAAGAACTCTGAGACCATAACGAGAGATTTCTACACCAATATCAAGTTCCACAAAAGCAGCAAATGTTTCACACAAAGAAAGGGGATGCAAGAGAAGTCCTCTTCTTGGTATTTGGGCTTTCAAAGCTACCCACCCCCAACACAAGTTTTCAAAGGAAGGGCTATAAATAAAAAATTACCTAACAGGCATCCGGGAAACAGATTCTCGCATCCGACGCATCGTCAAAGAAGGTAGTGCTGGGGCCCCACTATCACCAATGGTGGAGTTTGGAAACAATCTAAGTAAAATCAGAGAAAGAGTGGCATACAGATGTGTAATAATTTTTTTTTTAAGATTTATTTATTTGGGCTGGCACTGCAGCTCACTAGGCTAATCCTCCGCCTTGCGGCGCCAGCACACCGGGTTCTAGTCCCAGTGGGGCCCCCGGATTTTTTTCCCGTTTCCCCTCTTTCCAAGCCCGCTTTTTTCTTTGGCCCGGGAGTGCAGTTGAGGATGGCCCAAAGGCCTGGGCTCCGCCCCCCCTTGGGGGCCCGGAAAAACCCCCGGCTCCCTCCATCGGATCGGGTCGAGGTGCGCTGGCCGCAGTGCGCCGGCCCCGGCGGCCATTGGAGGGTGAACCAACGGCAAAGGAAGACCTTTCTCTCTCTCTCTCACTGTCCACTCTGCCTGTCAAAAAAAAAAAAAAAAAAAAAAAAAGATTTATTTATTTGAAAGGTAGACTCAGAGAGAGAGAGAGAGAGAGATCTTTTATCTGCTGGCTCACTCCCCAAATGGCAGCAATGGCCACAGCTGAGCTGATCTGAAGCCAGGAGCCAAGAGCTTCTTCCAGGTCACACATGTGAGTTCAGGGGCCCAAGCACTTAGGCCATCTTCTGCTGCTTTTCCTGGCTCGTTAGCAGGGAGCTGGATACGAAGTGTAGCAGCTGGGACTAGAACCAGCCCCTTTATGGGAAGCCCAAGCCACAGGCAGTGGCTTCATCCACTATGCCACAGCACCAGCCCCAATGTGTGTCAATTTTACAAACAATTGTTATGCTTTGCCTTGTAAACTCTTCACTGCTACTCAACTTCCCCATCACGTTTTCTGCTACCTTTTTAGGTACCAAGATTAAAGAAAACAATAATCCAAACATTTGGGCTTGAATGATTACAGAATGTGACTATGGTCCTGTCAATGAACATAAATTCCAGTAGGAAATAGTGCAGTGTGACTATACCAAAACAACTTTTTATAAAGCTAACACAGGACACTGTACAACCTGCATCATACACAGCTCTTCTGAACACACTTGCTAGGGAAAGATATAGATGAAAAGATAAAAACATGAAGAATAAATCCTATTTGGTACAAAAAAGTGACATATAAGAGGAAACGTGAGGCCAGTACTGTGGTGTAGCAGGTTAAGCCGTACTTGGGATGCTTGCATTCCACAGTGGAGTGCAAGTTCAAGTCCCACTACTGTCTTCCAACCCAGCTCCTTGCTAATGCACCTGGGAGGCAGCAGGTGATGGCTCAAGGACTTGCGTCCCTGCCACCCATGTGGGAGACCCAGCTGGAGTTCCTTGTTCCTGGATTCGACATGGCCCAGCCCCTGCTATTATAAGCATTTGGGGAATGAATCAGTAGATGAAAGATCTGTCTCTCTGTGCCTTTCAAACAAAGGAAAATGAACAATTTATTTCAAAAAAATAGGAAAAGTAATATTGTGCTAAGTGGACACTTTCTAGGCTGGACAGTAGTGCTCAGCGATTTCCCACGTGGTGACTGTGGCTGATCCTCACAAGAACACTGCAGCAAAGTCAGTACCTTCTTTCTCCAGATGAGGAAACTGAGGCTCAGAGGCAGTGACAGTCAGTAATCAACACTGAGATTCTGACACATCTGTGCATCTTTCTGTCTTCTTCTAACTCTGCTTTTCAAATAAATAATCTTTCAAAGAAAGACCAGAAATAATTCTTCCAATTTTCATAACCCTTTGTTCCTTACCTTACTGACTGACAGCTCACTGGTGCCTATTTGAAGATAACAGGTGTAACAGCTCACTTTAGAGTTATAATGCCACACTAAAATTAACTAGTTTCATAACCATGATTCTAAAGTTGATGGTTTTCAGGTTACAATGCAAGTTAACAAGACTGAAAGTCTGACTATTCAGTCAAAACGTACAATAATCACCTTCAAAAGTGTTTATATTCCCTATTCCTACATTCTCTGAAAGAAAGGACGATGCCTTACAAGAGCTGTCTGATATTACTCCAGTCGACACACATAGTAGGTACTTTGGTGCTACAGTGCTCATGAAATTTGTAGCCACAAGTCTGACATCGAAATCCATTGAGGAGGAACTTTTGACAAATGTCACAGAAGGCAAGCTTCAGGAACGTCTTTCGGGCCTACAACAGAACACAAGTACAAATAATGCTGAATAAACAAAAACTGACAGAAGACAAAGTAAACTTGGCCTGCAGAAGTTTTACTATTATTACAAAATGAAGAATCCTGTTTGCAACATTTGTAAAATTCATCAATAGAAATTATCTCTCTAATGAAATTTAAATCACTTTATTGTAAACAATGGCATAACTACAGCTTTAAATAATCTAACAAAGTATCACTTATTACCTCTGAAAAATTCCTATCACACCAGGCAAAGAATCTACTGTGCCACCCAGAGAGGAGAGATCTGCAACTTACAAAGTTGTGTGTGGTGAGGGGAACGTGATCCAGGAAATCTACTTGAAGTTCTTCTCCAATCAAGGAGGCGGCATCCGTATTCCAATCTAAACGTGCTTTTTTACTAAAGAGGATTTGAAAAAACATAAAAGGGAAATATTTAAACAAGAGAAGAGTTCTGCGACCAGTGTCTGCAAATAACTGATAGAATTAAAAAGGAGAGAATGATCCTACATGGGAAGCAGGATACACAGCAGACTCATAGAATGGCAAAAACCCTAAACAGCACTCTGGCCTCAGAATTAGCCCTTAAGGCATTCAGGTCTGGCTAAAAAGCCCATGAGAGTTTCGCAGGCATGGAAAGCCAAGGCACTCTGGAAAAAAAAAAAAAATGACCTAAATGAAAGATCTCTGTGAGTGAGATCCCAGTGGAAAGAACAGGCCATCAAAGAAGGCAGTACCTTTCTCTGAAGGGAGGAGAGAACTTACACTTTGATTATGGCCTTGTCGAAATAAGATCAGAGTTGGCAAACTCAAGAGGCTTCCATAACCTTGGCAGCTCATGACAAGAGCCTCAAGTGATTACTGACGTCATAAATAAGTATGTCAATTGTTAAATCAACAACAGGAGTCACTGTGCACCTGCTCCCCATGTAGGACCTCTGCCCTTAATGTGTTGTACTATGAGAATTAATGGTAAAACTACTACTCAAACAGTGTTAAAAAAAAAAAAAGAGAGAGAAGTGTTCAGAATTAACACCAACAGCGACCACATGTTATATAAACACAACTTATATAATCCATACAACACTAACTTATTTAATCCGCATAACAGACCTATGGAGTAGGTATTATCATCCCCATTTCTAAAACAACAAAACCAGGGTTCTAGGACTATAACTTGCTCAAGCGCACAGTTGAGTCTCTGGGCCTAAGCTGGAATCCAGATCTACTGGACTCCAAAGCTTGTGCTCTTACAATAAAGTTCTTTAAGCAACAACATATAACAATCTCATAATAAAATAAATATATATACTTGTGAATACTGCTATAGTACCAAAATTTATTCTTCTACAGCCTATTTCGATCTAAAAGATAAAAAAGGAACCACAAATGAAATGCACTTTTCCAATAAAAGCCTCAACTCTGTAGACTGTTCACAGTATATACAAAAATAAATATAAGTCCATGAAGACTTAACTGTCTTTAAATTTACACTGAAAACACTCTGTGCCTAGAACAATAGCACCAGTCAAACCTGTCCTATCACCTACCAGAAACCTATTCATGCCATTGTTCTGGTTAGATAAGAAATTCACCCCTTCATGTAATTCCCCACAGAAATCTGGGAAATGACATAGCACCCCAACGTCCTGCTCTGCCTTAATGAAGAGACAGATACCTTATTTTCAGTTGCTATCTGTCCTAGAAAGGATCCCAGACAAATGATACCTTACAGAAGAGTGGGCCAAGCTCCTCAATGTCTCAGAATCTCTCTAGTATCCGAGGAGCACTACGGGTTGGCAAGGGAGCCAGCATAGGGCTCTAACCCAGCTAGAACTGACATGTGCTTAAAAGAAGGGAACTTTGGCGTTGGCACTGTGGTGCAGTGGGTAAAGCCACTGGTGATGCCAGCATCCCATGTGGGCACTGGTTCAAGATCCAGGCTGCTCCACTTCCAATCCAGCTCTCTGCTAATGGCCTTAGAAGAACAGCAGAAGTGCTTAGGTCCCTGTACCCACATGGGAGACCCGGAAGAAGCTCCTGGCTTTGGATCAGCCCAGCAGATTGAAGATCTCCCTCTCTCTACCTCTGCCTCTCTGTAACTCTGCCTCTCAAATAAATGAATATATCTTAAAAAAAAAAAAAAAGTGCTTCAGCCCACCCTGCACCCACACTGGAGACCCAGAAGAAGCTCCAGGCACTAGGCTTCCGCCTGGCCTGGCCACAGCTGCTGCAGCCATTCGGGGAGTGTACTAGCGGATGGAAGGTATCTCTCTCTCTCTCGTTCTCTCTTTCTCACTCTGCTTCTCAAATAAATAATTTTTTTTAAAAAGAGGAATTTCAACAAACTACCTCCCACCCTGAAAGAAATACATAGACACGTTTAAATTGATCCCTTTTAGAACTCATTCCGAGGGATATTCTCTCAAACAGGAATTCACTGAAATATGAGATGTGAAGTGAAGATCAAGAATACAAGTGTCGGGGCCAGCACTGTGATGTAGTGGGTAAAGCCACCTGCAGTGCCGGTATCCCATACATGTGCTGGTTTGAATCCCGGCTGCTCCACTTCTGCCCTGCTCTCTGCTAAAGCCTGGAAAAGCTGTGGAAGATGACCCAAGTCCTTGGGCCCCCGCACCTGCGTGGGAAGCTCCCAGCTCCTGGCTTTGGATTGGCTCAGCTCTGGCTGTTGCAGCCAACTGGGGACTGAACCAGCAGATAGAAGACCTCTCTTTCTCTCTATACCACTCCTTCTCTCTCTGTATAACTCTGGCTTTCAAGTAAATAAATAAATCTTTAAAAAAAGAAAAAAGAAAAAAAAAGAATACAAGTGTGAGGGCCCAACAGCCAGTGCTGGCATAGTGGGTTAAACAGCTGCCTGCAACACCAGCACAGGCACCGGTTTGAGTCCCAGGTGCTTCTCTTCATATGGTTCAGAAGCAACTATCATTACTGCTTCCATTCACTATCAACTCCTACGTATTGTATTTTGTAAGACAGTATTCAAGCACTAATTTCAAGTTCTTAGTATGCTGTTTTTTTCTAAGTTATCTCTTTTAAACAAAAGTATACAAAGGATAATATTATATAGGAGGCTAATATAATTTTTTAAATGAAACCAGATATTTGAAGTTACAGGACACTTAACAGTCTGAAGCAAGAGACGACTGACTCTGAGTGCTTACCCTTTATGTTCATGGAGGAGTCTGAACACAGCACAGCACTCCGGCTGCAGGCCCCTCACCTTGAGCGCTTTCATTAGGCAGTCATGCAAGCTCATCCCATTTCGCACATTGACCTACAAACAAAGGACCACCTTCAGGACCAGTACAGGCTGCAGCACCCCTTGTGATCGTGACACGGACATCCCCCAGCAACCTGAAAGTCTGGCAAGAAGTGAGCACTTGAATACAGAACAGCACATCAGGGCCACACTGCAGCACAGTGAGTGAGTTAAACCCCCGCCTGTGATGCCGGCATCCCGTATGAGCTCCAGATGGAATCCTGCCTACTCCACTTCTAATCCAGCTCCCTGCTAAAACACCTGAGAAAGCAGGGGAAGATGGCCAAGAACTTGAACCCATTCCACCCAGATCACAGACCTGGATGCAATTCTTGGCTCTTGGCTTTGGGTTGGCCCAGCCTAGGCTGTTGTGGCCATTTGGGGAGTGAACCAGTGGATGGAAGATACCTTTCTTTCTTTAAGTCCCTTTCAGGTAAGTAACTTAAAAAAAAAAAAAAAATGGCAGAGATGCATTGTGTCTCATTATGTACCTACTATGTTATATGATTTACAATGACCAGGAGGGAGGAAAGTCCATGATCAATTAATATGGGTAAAATATTCTTCAGAAAAACAGAAAGAGCAAGATTACTTAAAAGGTGGGGAAATCTATATTACATGCTTATATGTGCTTTATGAGTGTGTAAGATACATACCCAGCTGTTCATATCCGAAAGTAGTGGCTGAGAAAGAAAAAACTAAAAAAGAAAAATTCCCTTATGTCTCTAATTTGTCTGACTTATTGAAATGTACACATAATCATAAATAAACCAATTTGATCTATGAACAGTTTTTATAATTGAAAATTTGTATTTGGGGTGGGCGTTCAGCCTGTTTCAAGGTGGCTGGGTGAGATCCCCTAGCTCTGGATCCTGACCCCAGCTTCCCAATGAGGCAGACGCTGGGAGGCAGGATTGATGACTCTAGGTGTCGGGTCCCTGACACCTATGTGGGAGACTTAGACTGAGTTCCTGGCTCCTGGCTCTGTCTCGCTCATTGTGGGCACTGGAGAGTAGACCAACAGATAAGAGCTTATACTCTGCTTCTTAAATAAATGAAATTTTTTTTAAATGTATTTCAACCTATTTTCTACTAAGTTCCACCACGGGGCACAGATAAAACAATCTGGAAGGGAAGGGAGTGTAAGCTGCCCAAAACAACCTGAAAAGACAAGAAGCTTTCCCCAAGCCTTTATTGTGCTATTACTGGCAACTGATGGGGGCTTATCTGCCCTGTAATCAATCTTTGAAGAATAAAGATGTGCTCAACATTAAGTACAGTATAAAAAACAGTACAACAGATAAATCGAGGAGGTGATGGAATGGAAGAGGAACATTCCCCTGAAGGATCCATCGTTAGCAAAGAACGAAAGGAGTTTTTTCCAAACTACCAGAGCTCCTTTGGACACTGTGATGGCCTCCTTAGTGAGGCATAGTTTTTCCTTCCCCTTAATATGTGGAAAAAAGTAAAGGTCATGAACAACATAGTAAGATGGAACCAACCGATTCTTCAGAGACTTCCTTTAAAAAAATAAAGAACAATGATTTTAAAATGTATTTCAACCTATTTTCTACAAAATGGTTGGTCTTCTAATCACACATGCACTTCACGCTAGTGAGGTCAACAAAAGTAGAGAAAACAGAGTTTCTGCCCATGCTTTATAACAACATTGTTCACTCTGAGGCACTGTTTTTGAAAGGCAGAATGACACACCTTTATCCTCTGGTTCACTCCCCAAATGGCCACATCAACTATGAAGCCAGGAATTCCACCTAGGTTCCAGATTTCAGCAGCAGGGACTCAGGCACTGAGCCATCATCTACTGCCTTCCCAAGCACATCAGCCTGACACTGGATCAGAAGCGAAGCAGCAAGGCCTCACACCAGGCACTTAGATTCGGGATTCGGGCGTCACAAGCTGAGGCTTAACTTGCTGCACTACAATGCTCAGTCCAATACAGATTTCTTCAGGGAAAGCCTGTGAGGAAAGTAACTTGGAAAGTAACTTAGAAAGTAGGGGCAGGGGCCCTGATATCTGTGAATATGAATGCATTACCTATTTAAAAGTAAACGAATAAAGTTAACATTCTTTAACAGTTTCTTGAATAGAATGAAATAGTGCAGACAATTATCTCTGACATTTGTGTCAAAAATAACTGGAAATGGGTGGATAGAGATTAAGCAGGATTGTCACAATTAGCTGTTAAAACTAAGCGATAGTACATCAGGTTTGATTCTAATCACTTTAGTTTTACTCATATTTTAAATGCTTACAGATTTATTTTAAAGGTTTCTTGAAGCATTGCTATATCCTTAGAAAGATCCCACTAGCCTCCAGCTTTTTCAGAAACAAAACAGAAGTGAAATATGGGGCCGGCGCTGTGGCACAGTGGGGTAAAGTCCTGGCCTGAGGTGCCGGCATCCCATATGGGCGCCAGTTCTAGTCCTGGCTGCTCCTCTTCCAATCCAGCTCTCTGCTATGGCCTGGGAGATCAGTGGAAGCTGGCCCAAGTCCTTAGGCCCCTGCACCCACATGGGAGACGTGGAGGAAACTCCTGGCTCCTAGCTTTGGATCACTGTAGCTCCGGCCATTGTGGCCATCTGGGGAGTGAACCAGCATTTGGAAGACCTCTCTCTCTGTAACTCTGTTAAATAAGTAAAATAAAAATCTTAAAAAAATAAAAAAAAAAAGAAGTGAGATATACTGATCTGTACTATGAAGATAGGACACCCAGAATGAGGAAAAGGAAGAGTAAGAAATACTCATACATTGACACGATCATGACCTGCATCAAATACTGAGCAGCACTGCCTTCCAAGCTGTAAAGAGATACCCGACTTGCACCATAAATCTTCATTAAATGTCAGACTCCAAGAGGTGGACAGTTCTTTAAATATCCTCTGATCCAAGTAAGGTTCCTAAAGGTGCCTGACACTAAACCACACAAGAACCTTGTGAAAATATAGATTTCAAGCTTCCCCCTTCAAACAACCCGAGTTCAATTCGGTTAATCTAGAAGGAGGCCCAGGAACTTGTGTTTTAACCTGCTTGTCAGATGATTCTATTCCTCAGCCCAGTCACCCTCTCACACAATAACCAGCAGCAGCAGCAGCAAGAGAAACATGCTCTATAACAACCAAGTAAGGGGATGAGCACTGCGGTGCTGGCAGCACGTCAAGGCTCCAGTGTCCCATATGGGAGTCAGTTCAAGTCCTAGCTGCTTCTTTTCTGATCCAGCTCTCTGCTGTGGCCTGGGAAAGCAGCAGAAGTTGGCCCAAGCCATCTACACCAGCACGGGAAGCCTGGAAGAAGCTCCTGGCTTTGCATTAGCCCAGCAATGGCCGTTGTGGCCACCTGGAGAGTGAACCAGCGGATGGAGGACCTCTCTCTCTTTGACTCTCCTTCTCTCTCTGTGTAACTCTGACTTTCAAATAAATAAATAATTTAAAAAGATCATAAATTCCTAAAATTAAAAAAAAAAGAATAAACACAATGCACTGATTTTACACAAAGATGGAGGGTGGGAAAGGTTTACATGTGGAAGTCACAAATAACCAAAATCAGTACAATTTCACTTTCTTTTTAATAGCTATGCCAGTTTTTTGTTTTTCAAAATCCAAAATACAAGAAACATTTTTTGTCTAGAAAATTGAGGCTTTGTGTCAGCATATCTAGGAGCAATGTCCTATCATGATGCCAACCTGAACCTTTGACTGGTACTTTTGAAAACGAACTATGCAGAACTAACTGGCCGCTGCCAGTGCGCTAGAATAGGTGACACTCTGATTTCTGTTAACTCCAAATTTGTCCTGAAGTTATAGCATACACCAAAACGATTTTAAGCATTTACTTTTTTTCTTCAAACTCCATTTTAATATGCCAGAAAATTTAAGTAAACACTGCACTTTAATACATGAACAGAAATTTTTTTTAAAGATTTTATTTATTTGAAAGATAGTTACAGAGAGAGGTAGAGCCAGAGAGAGAAAGATCTTCCATCTGCTGGTTTACTCCCCAACAGATGGAAGACTTCTCTCTATGTATCTGTCTCTACCTCTCTCTGTAACTCATTCAAACAAATAAAATAAATCTTTAAAAAATACATAAAATTGGCTAGTCAAAGGAAAGTACTTGAAACATCCCTGTAAGAATGTAACATAACTTGAATATCCCCAGTTTGAAAATCTGAAACTTGAAATCTAAAACTCTGAGCACCAATCTGATGCTCAGAATTCTCAGATTCTGGATTTCAGGGACACTCAACCAATGAGTGCTATGCAAATATTCCAAAATCTTAAAAACTCCAAAATCTGAAACACTTCTAGTCTCAAGCATTTCAGATAAAAGATACTCAATTTGCATTTCTCTGCATGAAGTGATAAAAAGGAAGTCATTTCAGGCTAGAATAATGACAGAAGGAGGGCCAAGGGGTGGGAAAAAGTGGAGGGTATACAAGGAATAGCAATAGAAAGAAATCAGCAATTGGAAAATCAATTAATTAAGATCCTATATGACAAGGAATATTTCACTTGTCTATGACTTGGGCAACATGATCAGTAACACAAATAGCTAAATTACCTAAGAGGAAAGTTCACATACCACTGTTCGTTGCTTATTTGGCAAGAACACACGGATAGTGTTGCTTGTCTTAGAAGAATCTGTGAGTTTGCCATCATCTGACGCCCGACGCTGATAGCCAAACTGCTGAACTATCGTGGGGGAGATGCAGCTGGAGCCATCAAACACTGCATCTTTGAATCCAAAACCATTGCTGATCGTCTTCCAAGCCCCCTGTATGTGCTCCATTGATGCAGCTGAAATAATGCTCAAACCTGGTTAAGAGAGACAAACAATTATAATCCTAAAACAAAAGCAATTAACCCACAAACACAATAGATAATGTAATTATGAAAATAACAGTACGTGAAGTTTTAACAAGAGGCATTTTCTGCTTAAATCCATCTGAAAAGAAAAATAATAGTTTATTTTGAAAAAATACTTCACGGATGAGTAAAAAATGAGGAAAATGGGGAACAGAGGTCAAAAGACTTCTGTTAAAAGCTAACCCTGGGCTGGCGCCATGGCTGACTTGGCTAATCCTCCGCCTGCAGCGCCGGCACACCGGGTTCTAGTCCCGGTTGGGGCGCCGGATTCTGTCCCGGTTGCCCCTCTTCCAGGCCAGCTCTCTGCTGTGGCCCGGGAGTGCAGTGGAGGATGGCCCAAGTGCTTAGGCCCTGCACCCGCATGGGAGACCAGGAGGAAGCACCTGGCTCCTGGCTTTGGATCGGCACGGTGCACTGGCCACAGCGCGCCGGCCGTAGCGGCCATTTGTGGGGTGAACCAACGGAGGGAAGACCTTTCTCTCTGTCTCTCTCACTGTCTAACTCTGCCTGTCAAAAAAAAAAAAAAAAAAAACCCAACCCTGATTAGGAGCCCAGGCCTCCTGATTTCTAGTCTAATACTTTTCCAACTACATTTCTCTTCTTTGGTTATAACAGTAAGTAGGAGCAACTACCCTTAACTACAAGCAACAAGTCAGCACTATGAGAAACACCAAAACCGTACACAATGCAATTTTGGCCATCTGAGAAGAAAAAACAATTATTTCTAGGATGTATTAGATACTTCATCTACCGTAAGAATCCCAAAGACTGCAAACCCCTTCCTCCAGCAACATTTCCTCTTGGAAGTAGAACATGCCCTACTTGGCCAAGAACACACAGGTGACAGGTAAAATAACAAGACTCCTCTCTATTTAAAGTCGTAAATGCTCTACAATATTCAGGGTTCAGTTTCAGCACAGAAACAAAGGGCACAAACAAAAGCAAGCAGAGACAGTCCTCTAAGACAGAAGAACCAAATGTTCTAACTGGGCAGCAAGATGACTGCTGCGTGAGCCCACAGCAAGTTGCACATTAAGACAGTCCGCTTCAGATGTCAGGACTTCAAGCGCCCTAGCACTGGCTTAGAAAAGGGCAGGGGTTTGTTTGCTCTTTTACAAAAGTCAGAGGTTGATAAGGAATCCCATCCTTCCTAGGCCTTCCTCCTTCAGAAACTTCTTTTTGTCTCATTATGCATAAAGGGAGCATTTACTCCGCGCCCACTATTAAAAGGTAGGGTACACAGCATCCACTCCACGCAGCAGTGCTGAGATTCCGAACTGGACTGCTTTGACCCCACAAGCCCTTATTTTCCCATATAATTTAGCTAGAGTTGAAACAACATAGAATTAAAGACCGTAAGATCCAAATCTCTTGTTTTCAAACAGAAATTTCTAGCTGAATACACACTACATGCTGACTATTTCCCACATGACATGCCTGAATGAAGAAGAAATGTTAGATCTTAATTATTCTTTGCTGATAACTTCGGGAACCAGAGAGATTTAGACTTACTCAAGATCACAACTTGGTGTTATTCTTAGACAGTCTTGGTATAACCTTAGTAATCACTAAGACCTTAAACGATGTACATAAAAACTGATTTAGTAATTTTATTCTAGGAATAAAAACCTGAAAAAATATACACATACAGTTTGGGGTGAGTGTTTAACCTAGCAGTTAGGTGATGCATCCACACGGGAGCACCTGGGTCTCATTCCCAACTCTTGATTCCTGCAGATACAGACCCTTTAAGGAGGCAGAGGTGATAGCTCAAGTAATCGTGTCCCACTCATGCATGCGGGAGATCTGAGCAGTGCTCCCGGCTCCCGGTTTATGCCCTAGCCACCGCATCAATCTGGGGAATGACCGAGCAAATGGGAACACTGTGTATATGTGCATCTCTGCCTCTCAAATGTGTAAGTTTTTTAAAAACTTTTATTTAATAAATATAAATTTCCAAAGTACAGTTTATGGATTACAATGGCTTCCCCCCCATAACTTCCCTCCCACCCGCAACCCTCCCATCTCCCGCTCCCTCTCCCATTCCATTCGCATTGATTCATTTTCAATTATCTTTATATATAGAAGATCAATTTAGTATAAATTAAGTAAAGATTACAACAGTTTGCACCCACACCGAAACACAAAGTGTAAAATACTATTTGAGTACCAGTTATAGTGTTAATTCACATTGCACAACACATTAAGGACAGAGATCCTACATGAGGAGTAAATGCACAGTGACTCCTGTTGTTGACTTAGCAAACTGACACTCTTGTTTATGGCGAAAGTAATCACCCTAGGTTCTTGTCGTGAGTTGCCAAGGCTATGGAAGCATTTTGAGTTCGCCGACTCCGATCTTATTTAGACAAGGCCATAGTCAAAGTGGAAGTTCTCTCCTCCCTTCAGAGAAAGGTACCTCCTTCTTTGATGGCCCATTCTTTCCACCGGGATCTCACTCACAGAGATCTTTCATTTATGTCTCCCCCCAGCCCCCCCAGAGTGCCTTGGCTTTCCATGCCTGCAAAACTCTCATGGGCTCTTCAGCCAGATCCGAATGCCTTAAGAGCTAATTCTGAGGCCAGAGTGCTGTTTAAGGCATCTGCCATTCCATGGGCCTCTGCACCAGTATGGGAGACCTGGAAGAAGCTCCTTTCTCCCAGCTTCAGATCAGCACAGCTCCGGCCATTGCGGCCATTTGGGGGAATGAACCAGTGGATGGAAGATCCCTCTCTGTCCTCTCTGCCTCTATCTCTCTGTAACTCTGCCCTTCAAATAGATAAATCTTTAAAAAGAGAAAAGACTTATCAAGAATGAAATTTTTGGGGGCAGGCATTGTGGCACAGTATAACACTGCCTGCTAAGCCAACATCTCATGCAGACACCATTTCAAGTCTTGGCTCTTCTACTCCTGAGCCAGCCCCTGCAAAAGCAACTAAGAAAGCAGCAAAACATGACCCAAGTCCTTGGGCCCCTGCACCCTCAAAGGAGACCTCAGGCTCCTGCGTTCTGCCTACCCCAGCCCCCATGATTTGGGGTGTGAACCAGCAACTGGAACAACTCTTTCTGTAACTTTGCCTTTTAAATCAATAAATAAATCTTTATTTTTTTCCCCTTCCAAACAGAAAAAATTTATCAGTAAGTTCCTGGCTCCTGGCTTTGATCTGCGCAGGTCTAGCCATTACAGCCATTTGAGGAGTGAACCAGCAGATGGAAGATCTCCCTCTGTGCCTCTCCCTCTCCCCTGCAACCACATGGGAGACCTGGAGGAAGTTCTTGGTTCCTGGCTTCGGATCGGCGCAGCTCCTGCCATTGCACCAACTGGAGAATGAGCCATGAGCCAACGGAAGGAAGACCTCCTTCTCCCTCACTCCCTCCTTCCCTCTCTCTCCCCACCCCACCTCTGCCTCTCCTCTCTCTGTGTAACTCTTTCAAATAAATCAACAAATTATTTTTAAACAAGTGATGAAATAATTCAGCTTTAATTCAAGTTTTACATTTATCATTCATATTTTTATTTTTCTATCTCCATATCAAGTCCACCTAAAGGCTAAGAGGCCTGCTAATTCAGCGCTCTCTAATCTGTATCATATCACTCTCCTCACACAAAATGACAGACTAAATTTACAAGACATGCTTAGGTAAGCAGACATGGCTCCTCCAGGTTAAAGTGATAAGCCCACGGCTCCAAGCTCAAGGCCCCCACTAGGTGCCTCAGCGCAGACAGGTACACCTGTTCATCACAAGAAACTCTGCTTTACTCAATCAACTTAATAAGAAGTAGTGACATGAAAATATTAAAGAAGCATTTTTTAAAAAATTGTTTGGCCAGCACTGTGGCATGACAGGTAAAGCCACCACCTGCATTGCTGGCATCCCATATGGGCACCGGCTGGAATCCCGGCTGCTCCACTTCTGATCTAGCTCTCGGCTAAAGTGCCTGGGAAAGCAGCAGAGGATAGCCAAAGTCCTTGTGCCCCTGCACCCACATGGGAGACCTGGAAGAAGCTCCTGGCTTCGGATCGGCTCAGCTCTGGCTGTTGTGGCCAATTGGGGAGTGAACCAGTGGATGGAAGACTGATCTCTCTCTCTCTCTCTCTCTCTCTCTCTCCCCCCCACTTTTCAAATAAATAAATAAAATTTTTAAAAGTCATTTTTCCTATTTCATGTAATTCTACCAGTTTTCTTGTAAATATTTCATTGTTATGTTGACCCAAATAAATAAGTACATTAGATTTTCATTCTTTTCTCAAATACCATTAATTATTTTGTGTCCTTATCATTCAGGTAACTTGTTTAAAGTAGAAAATACCTATTTAATGGATATACTGACAATAATTTCTATACACTAATTACAATCAAACTCATACCACTCTCCAACTGTGACAAGATTACATGGATAATTAATTTTTAAAAATCCCAAGTTATATCCTTAATTCCTGCTCAATTTCAATCAACTTGGAAGTCAATCAAAACTGAAAGTTGCAGAATTTATAACGCAGTAAATATAAAAATTATGTAAATTAAGATGGCTATTAAAAATGTAATACAACAAGCAAAGGTCCATGAAAAACACAAATATTCAATAAAGTCCATTTGACTACCTGAATAATAATTATTTGTTTGCTGTTTTGACACTAGCTAAAATTCACTAGGCAGAAAGATACATTCACCAAAAAATAAATTACTAAAATTTCTACACCAATTAGGCAGCACCAACAATAATGATATTGCTACTAGCTAACAGCTATTGTTTATCATATGTTAGTTCTTTACCTATATCTCATTTAATCCTTCACTATCCCATGAGACAAACCATCAGTCTGATTTTGAAAAGGAGGAAACTGATGAGTACAAAGGTTTACTAAAACTGTCCAAGGTTACAGAGAAAGATACAGAGCTCAGATTACTGACAGAGGGTAAAGTCAAAAGCATTCACATGTGTTGTA